CCTCCAGCGCTGACAGGCGGAACGGACGGGGGAGGGGGCGGGTACAGCTGGCTCTGCCTCTAGATAGGCAGAGCCAGCTGTCACTCACGCAGCTGGGCGGATCCAGACATAATTGTCAAGATCCGCTTCAGCTGCGGCGTCTCAGTATACCGCGAGCTGCAGCTCCCTATATACTGAGCTTTGGGTGACGGGAGGACGCTAATTTGTGTCCTCCCATTACCCTAAGGAGAACTATGGGGAAAAGCCTTAACCCCATAGTTCTCCTTTAACATGACAGATATAGCAATTTCTTCTGTCTACGGAGCCAGGGCTGGGGGTGGGGTGGAAACTAAACCTCACCTCTAGACGTGATTATATATCAAAACGCCTTGATAAGTGAGTGTCAGTCTGGAGGACTTGTCCTTCCTAGGCAGGCCGCATTTGCATGCAGACCGCCCTAGGTAACCCCCACATGTGACGCTGAGCCTTCATGATTGACAGAACTGAAATCCAAGGAATGAAAGGGGCGGGGCCAGGGACAGTCAGGCCGGGAAGGAAAGAGATGATGCTGGACGTCCCCCGGCCAGAAAATGAGGCGGAGCTCTATCTGTCTTGCTGCAGCTTCTAATGTACATTGTGAGAAGCTCCCAGTGTGAAGTGACATCAGAGGAGCCGCTACAACCGTGCAAGACTGAAGGGAAGGACGGAGGTCAGATAGAAGGCTGAAAGGAAGGACGGAGGTCAGATAGAAGGCTGAAGGGAAGGACGGAGGTCAGATAGAAGACTGAAGGGGAGGATCGAGGTCATCACTTAGAACTGCCAGCCGTGCCCATCGCGACGTTGTTGTGTACAGACTTCCAGGGTGACATTAGCGAGTGACGGAGAGAGGTGACAATGCTTGTGTCCTCACAGCAGCTTACTATGACCTTGTAGAATCCTCTAGTAATCGCAACAAACGTAGAGCCAAATGAAAAAACATATGGGGGCCGATTCACAAAGGAGCCAGCCGTAGCTTCGGCTGATCCTTCGGCTCTCTTTGCTATTCACAATAGCCGTACAGCATACGAAGGCGGCCGAGCGGCTCGGCCGAGCTGAAGCCATATGCTTCGGCTCGACTGAGCCGAAGTGTCAGCCCAAGCGGGGCGAACGGCCAGCCGATGGCTGGCCGAATGACAGCTGGGCGGAGCCAGCCGCGATCTCACGACTGGCTCCGCCCAGTTCCAATGACAGATCAGCTTCCCCAAATGACCCGGGGACGCTGATCTGCTCATTAAACAATAACGACTGGGCGGGACTGGCCGTGACATCATGGCCAGCTCTGCCGAGTTGTTATTTATTGGCTGGGACCTGCTAGAAGGTGTGATGTTGGTGACCTGGTCAAGTTGAAGGACAGCTGATCTGGTCAAGCAGACTGACCATGGTCAGGTCATCAGGATGATTGATGATACAATTCTTACCAAAGGTGTTCAGTAGGGTTGAGGTCAGGACTTTGTGCAGGACAATTGAGTTCCTCCACACCAAGCTGGTCACACCATGTTTTTATGGGGCTGGCTTTGTACACAGGGGACAGTCATGGCGGGACAGAAAAGGGTCTTCACCAAACTGTGACCATAAGGTTACAATTGTCACAAATAAAAATCTTTGTATGTTGTATGAATACCAGTACCCTCGAGTTTCTTCACCAAGCTGGTCACACCGTGTCTGTATGGATTCAATCAATCCCCGACTCTCATCAACTTCTCACCATCCCCATCTCTCCTCATCCAATATATGATTAGCCCCACTTTGCTGCCAGAACATCCTACACTCTTCTGAGAAGACTTTCAACAAGATTTTGAAGGGTGGGAATTCGTCCCATGTGTGAGGTCAGGTCCTGATGTTGGAGCAGAAGACCCGACTTATAATCATTGTTCCAATTCATCCCAAAGGTGTTCGGTAGGGTTGAGGTCGGGGCTCTGTACAGGACACTCGGGTTCCTCCACCAAGCTGGTCACACCATGTGTTTATGGAGCTGGCTTTGTACACGGGGGACAGTCATGGGTGGGACAGAAAAGGGTCTTCACCAAACTGTGACCACAAGGCTGGAAGAGCTCAATTGTCTACGATGATGTAGAATTAACAGAACCTTCACTGGAGACCCCTGAACTCCATCATTTGGAGGAAGGTCCACATACTTTTTGCCATATAGTGTCCCACTCCCTTTTCAAGAGACATGAAAGGCTACACATATTCGGTGGAGATGACAGTAGTGGAGGTGCCTCTGTTAATGGCCCGATTCTACAAATGTGATTACCTACACTGGAATATCTTAATTTAAAAGGAGAACTATGAGGTCAGGGCTTTTCCCCATAGTTCTCCTTAGGGTAACGGGAGGACACAAACTAGCGTCCTCCCGTCACCCTAGGCTCAGTACAGATCGCGGTATACTGAGATGCCGCAGCTGAAGCGGATCCCGACAATGGTGCCGGGGATCCGCCCAGCTGCGTGACTGACAGCTGGCTCTGCCTATCTAGAGGCAGAGCCAGCTGTACCCGCCCCCTCCCCCGTCCGTTCCGCCAGTCAGCGCTGGCAGATCGGAGCGGGGAGGGGGGAATCCAGCCCCTCCCCTGTCACGGCAGAGAGACGTGACAGGATCGAGAGGTGAGCGAACGCCGGTATGTGTTCGCTCACCTCCCGATCTACTGAGCCGACCTGTGACAGTCTCGTTGTCACAGGTCGGCTAGAACTGTGAGGTGAGTGGAAATCACTCCCCTCAAAGTTCTCCTTTAACCTGCAGCACCAACAAGAGGCCACAGATGGCCATGTACAACCATCAACCATCACGCCCTCAAACAATTCATCCCCACACAGCTCCCTCCTCATGTATCACTGGCCCCTCCCCCTTAGATTGTAAGCCCTCAGGGGCGGGGCCCTCCTTACCATCTTGTATTGTATTGTGATTGTAATGTCTTCCTCATATTGTAAAGCGCTGCGCACACTGTTGGCGCCATATAAATCCTGTATAATAATAATAGGACTTACCTTGTGATTGTAGGAATCGGCCACGTACAGGAGATTCCGCTTGCGGTCCCAGGCCACCCCCAGTGGATGCTGCAGTTTGGCAATAATTCCAGCCCCATCGACATCACCGAAGGCGAACAGGTTCTGTAACAGAGGTAAAGACACTGGCATGTCAGCGAATCACCTCCAATGTATCCGGACTAGCCGTCAGCCATCTTGTGTGCTGGAAGATGTTCCGCAGCCCACCCGGGAAATCTCATATCATCCTGAAGCCACCAAGTGATCACAAGACTGCTAGAACCAGCTCACAGGTGCTGCGGAAACCCACAACATTGTCGTAACACACACTACGAAACGCGTTGGCTTTGTAGACAGTATGTCATTGGCATAGATTTGTATTGGGACTTATCACGGTGTGGTTCTTTAATCCAAGATCCACTCATCCCTACCGCAGCTCACGGTGATTGGGGAAATCCATCTGTGTGTAGAACAGGGGGTGCCCATTAGGTAGATGGTGATCCACCAGTAGCTCACAAAGCTGATGCTGGTAGATCAGGATTGTAAGTCGGCTCACTATCCCGAGAACCCTCCTACGGTCTGTTTAGCCCCTCCCCCCGTTTGCTGCGTCTGACGCATGAAGGCAGAGGCCGACAGCATGAGAGCAGCGACTCTAGGATGGGGGGCCGACAGCATGAGAGGAGCGACTCTAGGATGGAGGGCTGAGCACGAAAAGAGGAGAAGTACGAGGTCTAGCTTCCCGGTGTTCTGTAATATTGCAGAGCAGCGACTTTAGAGAGAGCGAGGAGAGACAGCCAGGAGAGCGAGGAGAGACAGCCAGGAGAGAGAGCAAGGAGACACAGCCAGTAGAGAGAGGAGAGACAGCCAGGAGAGAGCGAGGAGAGACAGCCAGGAGAGAGAGCGAGGAGAGACAGCCAGGATGGAGAGCGAAGAGAGACAGCCAGTAGAGAGAGCGAAGAGAGACAGCCAGGAGAGAGAGAGCGAAGAGAGACAGCCAGGAGAGAGAGAGCGAAGAGAGACAGCCAGGAGAGAGAGAGCGAAGAGAGACAGCCAGGAGAGAGAGAGCGAAGAGAGA